GAGTATATTATTCCAACGACGGTCGGTTCGACGGTGCATAAAGCATTCGACATCCTCAACACAGAAAAAAAAATATAAAAATATATATTGTACTTCTTATGACTCTGAATGGTGAATGTGATTATAAAGTGCACCATTTAAATAGTTGTTCAATCAAAAACATGATTTATCTGCCCTGAGTAGCCATTAAATCCTTCTTATATATAAGAATATATATATAAGCTATGTATTGATATTCAGATGTCTGAGTTGGTGAATCGGCACCTTTACTCTATTTTATCTGTGGACAGTTTTAAGTCACACTAAGAATAACTGAATATGATGGATCTGATGTCTTTGTATCTGCTTGTGGTTATCAAATTTCGCTGAATTTTTAGAATGCTGAGAGTTGGATTATTGTGACTGTCAATTATATTGAACAGTTTCAGAGCACGATCTCTAATGTATTTTTCGACTGAATCGACTCACAGATCTCTGTGGATATCCGCTCCTCTTACGTACCATGGGGCGTTAACCAGTTTTCTTAAGGCAATATTTTGCCCTTTTCGAAGAATTTTTAAAGTTAAGTTTGGCGGTTGGCAAAACGCAATACTGCCATAAAGTAGTCCAGGTTTAATAATCTGCTTACATATGCTAACTCTATTCTTTATGTTTAGCTTTTTGCTGCTGATGAGCGGGTGAAGGGAGTGTAATATTCGGGCAGCTTGAGCTCGTTTGGATTTGAAATGTGCTTTCCAGGAGTGCTTGTTATCAAAGGTTATGCCTAGATATTTGAGAGTATCGGCCCATTCTATTTCGTGTTCTTCTACCTTTAATTTTCTGGGTGCTTGAGGGCGCTTCCTGGTAATGAAAATTGCCCGAGTCTTTTCTGTGTTCAATTTTATTTTCCACTTTTTAAAATACTGAACAAGCACGTCAATGTGACCCTGTATGGTGTTGGAGACATTGCAGGATTTTGTCTGAGTACACAATACAAATGTCGTCAGCATAGAGCGATAGCATAGAAGGCTCGAGTTTCGGTATGTCTGCAGTGAACAGGCTTTAGAGCAGTGGAGATAACGGCGACACCTGTGGTACTCCAGCCTGTATCGATTTTACTGAAGAGATAGAATTGTTCACTTTGACTTGGAACGACCTTTCATTTAAGAAACTGTCTATGAGCTTGATGATAGATGGGGGAAGTTCTGAGCAGCCATTTTCACAATTAGGCCCGAGTGCCAGACTTTGTCAAAGGCTTTAGCGACATCAAAAGAGATAAGACCAGTCGACATCCTACTTCTAAGTGCAGATTGCATATGTTGTGCTATTTTGGCCAATTGTAATTCCGTTGAGTGGTTGTCTCTGAAGCCAAATTGCTCATCAGAGATGATATTATTCGAGCTTAGGTGGTCTTTCAATTTTGCCAGAATGACTCTTTCTGGTACTTTCCCCAGAGTAGGAAGTAAGCTGATGGGACGCCAATTCTGTGGGAACTTCAGGTCCTTGTCTGGTTTAGGAAGCATAATGACCTTCGCTTTTTTTTAACAAATAGGGAAGTATCCAAATTTAAGAATTGCATTGGTTATTTCCGCTACTTTGGTGAGGACGTATATAAGCTATGGATATGCGTTAATATAATATGATATAACGTACTACTTGTTTTATATTAATTATTATATTGTAAATAATCTATAAGAGTTCCTATTATAGATTATACTATATTATACTTATTATAGATATATAGAGTACGTTTTAATAACTAGTATATGTAAACTACTAATTTAATAAACGAGAGTCATTTTCAATATAATTATTTTATTATCTTTCGTCTTTGTAAGTACGCAATGGATAAAAAAATATTACCGGAACAGAAAGAGATTCTTTTTATAATAAAAAGCTAACTTTTTATTACTAATTTATTTATCTGTTTCACAGTTCCTTATTATCTTTTCCTATATAATTAAGGGCCATGAAAATTTTCGCAGTGTAAATTTGGTACAAATTCTGTTTGTCCCCACGTTTATAGACTTTGAATGTCTCAGCTGCTTGTGACAAATTGACATACATGAGCGTCTATTAATCCCCTCCTATACTTCGCTGAGGCAGCACTAAAATTTTCCCATTGCTTTTATTCGATGGCGAATTGCTCAGTTCCTGTTGATACAAGCTAAGCTGGCTCCTCCGTCATTGTAGTTGCCGCATTTTCCGTGAGTTTTGTTTTCGGACAAAATGCATTGCCTTGGCAGCCACGTGGTGCACATCGCCTCTGGTATTGTGTACATGAAATCGATAAAATGAAATCGATAAACTTGTTTACATATACTTCATTCGTATTAAAGTCAACTTTTATTCTATTTTTCCTTTTTGAAAGTGTGCTCCTTTTTATTTTCTGTACGAACTGATTTGCATATGAAAAGTTTTTCCTGCTTTGTATAAAACACGAAATATCCAAAGTGTGTCAATGTTAATAATATTACAAAAGGAGGTAAGTAGTCAAGGATACATAATAAGATAGTAATTACTTATCATATATGAGGTTTTACTCGTATGTTATATTATGTGTTTCATGCCGTAAGAATGAAATGAAGAATAAAATTTTTAGTGAATACCTGTCTCAAAGGTTTTGAATTCAACAAATGAATTGAAATGGCTTGAGTAATATTTAACACAGTTTTTCATAAAGGATTTCTAATTGAAATTGGGGCCCACTTAAATCACTTAAAAGAATCTATTAAAGTCTATTCTTTCTGTTTTGATAGCTTGCTAGAGGCATGACTGTCATAACTGAGACTGTCGAAGGTTTTTGCTTAAATGTGGCTTTGCTCAAAAGAATACAATGAATCCAAAACATCGTCTTCTTATATCATATTGGATGTAAGGCTTTCAGAGGCTTAAGGACTTGTTCCAGACCTAAATTACTGTATATATACATTCAACTAAAGTACCTTTAATTAGCTGGTGTCTCAATAAGACAGGTTGTCATTCATGGCTACGAGACAAAAACATGGAAAGAGACAAACGAAAAGATGCCTTAAATCAACTGTCCATTAAAGTTGTTCGGACCGCTTCTTAGGGTCAAAGTGACAACAATTTTTAATGGGATGGATTATCATGCATGTTAACTGTCATTTACCACATAATGGTGTATACATGTGGATATCTGGTGTGAAATCATGAACAACAAAAAGTTCTGAATTTAATAGAGATTGGCTGTAAGTCATGTCTACTGCTATTTATCACCTAAGGCTATGCACTTTTAGGAATTTTAGGTACGAGATTAGATCTTGGGAATTTACCAAAAGGCTCCGCATGCATACCTCAGGGCTTAATGAAGTTCTCTCTGGTCACTGATGTATAGGAAACCACGCAGAGAACCACTGCGTATTCCTTTTAATACTTATTACAGATGTTACAGAAACTTGCTGATAGAGAAAACTATTGCACATTTTTCGGCTTGGCTTTGGCTTAGAGAAGAAATAGTTTTTTTAGGAAGGTACATTTGTCGGAATATTCATCGGTATTGACTTAAGACCTACTAAATTATCTAAATTCGATGATTTGTTCTGTTTTCATCCATCTTAGAATTTCTTTCCGGGAATGTAGTAGTGATAGGGTGAAAAATGGCTAACTGAGACCAGTAGAAAGGTATCTGCTGACTTGCCACTGCAAACAACCAATCAACCAACCAGTCAACAATGTTATGAAGTGCACTGTGAATTCTCTGGAATAAAAGACGCAGAATAAAACTATTTTGCATTTTCATATTTCTTTGAAAATAAGAGCAATCACTCTAGCTAAATTGATGTACCATAATGTTGGCAATCTAACAGATACTCACATCAACGAGGCGGAGGTTCTTAAATGGATGATATATATCCAAACTGTTTATATAAAGAACGGATTGAAGAATTCGTAAGAAGGTTCTACCATTAAAATGAAAGAAAAGTATTTATTGGACTCACGGGCAAAGTCAGCTTTTAACCAATTAAACTAACTAAACAATCAGAAATAAAAATTAATATATATAAAAATACTTAAATAAACTTATTAAATAAGCACAATGGAAATAAAAAATAAACACAACTCCATTAAAAATATTTTATTAAAAACAAAAAATAACAAAATTAATGGCCGGCAATATTTTTGTAATCATATGATACCGGCATTTGGTTTTCTTTCCATTACCAAATGCACTCCTTCCAATGCTCTACTATTACAATTATTGGCCCCAGCACGGATACAACTAAACTTCTGCAATTGGCAGACAGTCTAGCAGCAATATGACCTCAAAGTTTGGATTTGCGGTGCTAGGGGAACATACATATGCCAAAACAATCACAGCAATTGCTAAGCGGTGTTTTCCACTCGCACTTTGCATATTATGTGGGGACTTGGTAGGAAGAAGCAGAGGACATGAATGAATGAACTTGTTGTTGTTTATGTAACAAATATTGGAAAGCAGCACTGCTGGCGTTGACTGCATTTGATATATTGTTTTGGTTTAGTATGCACGTCACTAACGTAAAGTTTATAAAAACGCTATGTCGGTAGGCAAAAGACTTAATTCGCCGCCGGCTTAGTAAGGACGTGCGCGTCGCTAACTCCTGCGACTAATTTAGTTTTTTTTTATAAATATTTTACTACCATATTTTTGGAACAGTTTAACATAAAAATATATAAAAAAGAATTTTTTTTTTCATCAAATACAAAACAGAATAAATATTTTACAAAGTAAAAGCAAACAAGTACATTTGTTTGGAATTTAAATTAAGTACATTTAAACAGAAATAAGTTTAATAATCAATAGATATGCTTAAAAAATCTATAATAAATGTTTAAGTATTCAATTGGATTATTAGTGGTTTCAAAGATTTTTATAAAAATATGAAGTGCCTTAGATATTTAATGTGCCTTAAATTGTTTAGCAAGAAAATGAATTTTTTAACTTAATTAAAAGCGCAACAATTTGTTGTCGTCATAATTCTTGTGATAACAGGCAATTGTGATTGTCAACAAAAGTAATGGATAATACTTATGGCGGTAATCGCCCTTGGGCTACAAATAATGGGTTCCTCACAGACCAACAGCCACCAAATTCAGCAGGTCAGTAAAATTTCAATATTAATTATCATCGATATGAATTTTGTACTTTAAGTAACGTTTTGTCTCTTAATTATTATATATAAAATTTATATTTATATATAATAACAGAAGAAAGTGTAATATTACCCCTTCACCGGTATAAATTAATTATTTATTATATTTAGTATATGGTGAATGAATTTGCTAACAAATATTTTAATTGCATACTTTAGGGCGAAACATTTATTTGTGGAATTACTTGTAATCCACTTATTCTAATTTATTCCTTTGCTTAGAGTATGTCATATTGTACAATTGTTCCTTCTAACAATAATTTATTCATTTATTTAGTTTATTTTTTGTGCAATTAGACACTAAAAAGCTGAGAAAAAGAAAACTTACATTAGTTATACTTATACTATATTAAAGAAAGTCACCGAAGTTAAAAACAAGTTTGAAGGGCAATAAAAATAAAAAAAATTAAAAGTGGAAGAAATATAAAATAGAAAAAATAAAGAAGAAAAAATATAAAAATAATCTGTTAAAATCTGCAGAAAAATATTTAGAACTGATTTCCAAAAGATATTAGCCTGCCAAAAAAAATTTTATTTTTATCTATAGAAAGAAAAGAAAAGCTAAAATGTATTTTAAAATGTTATTTACCTCATTCTTAAAGTTTTTCTATTCTATTTTATTTCGTCTTTAAACAAAAAGCTAACATGATTATTATTCTTTCTCTTGTTTGGCTCTATAGCCCAGTGTGAACCTTGGCCTCCCTAAAATAGTTATTATATCCAATATATTTTACTGCTAATATTGTACTAAATAGTTATAGTAATTTTTATAGTAGACTGCGAATCTACTACAAAGTAGCTAATAACTTTAATAATTCTAATATTTCTAATATTTTCATATATAGTTGAATGTAGTTACTTCTTTTTTACGTTTAACCGTTGAGTGATAGTTTGATCGCCTTGCTCCATATCCTAGAACTTCCATATATAGTTCAATGTAATTACTTCCATTTGATCGTTGAAATCTTCGGTTTCAAGATTTTAGTACATTTGATTCTCGTGCACTGAAATATAATTTACTTTAACACAATTAAATTAAATATAATTAGTTATATTTTAATTTTCTTGAAGTTTTCTATCAAAGACTTTTAAGAATAAAAGTGTAATTCAACATATCAAACTCTCATTTCATCAAAGTCTGCAATTTTTTAATACATCGGCACTTTTCTTAATTCCTGGTTTTATTTCAGTAATTTTAAACATGTTAAAAATTATTCGGTTTATCTTTAAAAATCCTTTTCGATTTTTTATTCTTTAAAAAAACACTGTTGTTCATGGTCTATAGGCATTATCATGGCAAGGTTTTAATCTATGGAGGGTAACGATCATGACATAGTGATCTATCGACTTCATATTCGATATTTCATCTATTGTGGTAGTGTTAGTATAGATAGTAGAGGTTTATTATTAGTAGTAGAGATTTATAAATACCTATGCTGGAAAATTAGTTATGCTATCTAATCAAAAATTACAAAAAATTGCATAAATAGAGAGACAATTGAATATTTCATGTGCATATACTCAGATTTACATACATATTAGATTAGATTAAATGCAAAAAGGGGTTGGAAACTTGTCACCATGTCATTACATCCTTTAAAGATTATTGTGACATATTGTGACACTTTAGCTCCATAGTCAAGTAGCATTTAAAAACACTATCATGTCTTTTAAAGAGACGTTACCGAATTCCTCTGGTTTACCCATATTAAAGTATTTAATTTTGGAGCCCTACGAACTGAATAACATTTTTCGTTACTTTTTTTTTGAAGAATATATCTTCACACCCACCCATAGGAGCACTTACCTAAGAGTAGTGTAGGGTTTAGGATAAAAGTAGCTGATTTTATTCCTCTTTTGCGGAATTAAGTTCGTATTACGAGCCCCTTCTAATCAGGGTAATACTTCAGGTCATGTATAGTCTATATGTTAGACATGGCCGAATTGTTTCCGTTCTCCAACTCAAGCTATGTGTGTAAATTATACAGTTTCCTTCGAAGAGTTACTGTTATCAAAAACGGAAACGCTCTCATTGTGTTTCGAACTTCTGCTATTGAGTATAGGCACCTCTTTATCGCGCAAAGAATTCGCTTGACTCTGTCGGCATTAAAGTAAGACAAATAAGAGTGATCACAGATTTATTAATATTAAGCACATTTGTTAAATTTTTGTTTCTTTTGTGAACCATGTTTTCTAATTCCAGACAAAGTTTTTAAAACTTCTAGCATTGCTGCCAGTAACTCTGCTCACTTAGTTTAAAACGAATTTGGGCACTTTCTCTTCTAATTCCCATTATTTCTCTCCAATAGAATTAGAATTTTTGAAGTTAAATACTTCAAATGGGTTAGGGTATGCTATACTGGGAACCCTGAGAATCCATTTAGACTTGGACAAAGTCCCACTATAGATCCAGGTTTTATCTTTTCATATGTTTAGGAGCAAAACTATCAATAAGTAAATTCCACATTATCACAATTTTGATTCTTCCTCTTTCGATGAATATGTATGAATTTTAGTCATTGGTATAGAGTCTTGAGTAATCCTGACGACATCTGAAATGTAGAAGTTATTATAGTATTATATGAAAAAAATGGGTTAGCTTACTAAATGTCAACTCTAAAGGATATAATTAAAATAAAATTCTGAAATAAGAAATTAATGTTTAAATTTTTAAAATTAAAAATAAATGAGAAAATGTGTACTTCCGTGTAGTTTACAACTCACGCAAATTGCCAGTGGTACAATGAACTTCATATATGTCAAAAATATAGAAAAAAAAATCCTAGTCAAATGAGTTTGTCATGTCGTTGTCATTAAAAATAAGTAGCAAATGAGTAAAAAACTAAATGACACCATAAATGCACATATCCGCACTAAACAAAGCCAGGATATATGGGTATATACATGTATACACATACTAATATCCGCGTTCGTTATTACTTGACCAGACATCGGAGCCATCAAGAGGGATAGATAAACTCATAAATGTAAAAATCGTGTGTGTTCGTAACGCATTGTAATATAAAATATAAAAACTATTTAATGACAGGATAGCTAAATCTATTCTTATCATCTGATCAAAGTGCATACCTAAGCACGCAGATATGAGAACATAACACAACGACCGCAACCATGACAGGAGTCAGCTTATTCGGAAAGGACATGTTTGGTGGTCGTGTTGCGGTCTAATGACACTCATAAACGTTAAAAATAACAACAACAATTCATGCTGTTGCTATCTTTAACATTTTCATATTTAAGTTCTGACGAATGAAAGTTACTCCAGCACCAGCGGGCAAGGCTACTATGTAGGCGTAAGACTTAATGTAATTGCTTTTCATATTTACCAATTCATTTATCATAGGCAAATATTTATTGACAAAGCACAGTGATTATCTTTGTAACAATAATAATTAAATATATGGAAAAATTAAATCATTTCCAGGCAATCGAAGCATTCTCACCACCATTTCGGGTCAAATAACCGCGTCACAACGCAGCGGAAATGACATCAACAACGTCACCAGCAAACAGTACAATCCACATCTGATTGGAGTCCAATCCAAGTGAGTAATTGCCTTCAGTTAGCTATTTTTCTAAGTTTTATTGAGTTTCACGGAGTTTTTGTTAGTTTCGTTGATTTTGATTTCATTTTAATGGGCTTAATAAATAATTTTTCGCTATTGTGTTGTAATTTAATAGTTCAATTAGAATTCATTTTGATTTGGATTCCGTTTCAGATTCAGACGAAAGTATTATCACAAAGCACTTTTAGGTCTACTAATATTTACGATAATCATACTGATAATAACAATAATAATTATAAGCTTAAAACGTAAGTATTATGTTTATTTTAACAGACTTTCAAGGTTTCATTACCTTCATTCCTTCCTTTTACCAGATAAGAGATCTGCAACGATTTGTCGCACAAATGAGTGCATACGCACAGCTGCAAATCTATTATACTCTATGGACGAACAGACTGATCCCTGTGAGGACTTTTATACATTCACTTGCGGCCGTTGGGCCAATGAACATCCCCGCCCTGACTCTATCACATCGAATGACTGGTTTCGAGAGAGTCAAGCCAAAATTATGCGAAAGGTCCGCAGTTTCTTGCAGGCGAACGTGAGCGATGCCGAACCATCGGCAGTTGCCAAAATTAAGGTTATGTATAAAGCCTGCATAAATACAGAGTTACTGGATGACCGAGAGCTGGAACCACTTGTGGAGTATTTAAGAGAATTTGAATTGCCACTTTTACCAAGTGGTTTCAATATGACACTGTCTAAGGAGGCTGAAAAGAAATTTGGTGATATTGAGAAGTTTAACTGGTTACGTGCCTTGGTGAATATAAAAAAGTTTACTGGTATGGATCTGATAATAGGTTTCGATATATTTGCTGATCCACTTAATAACACAATCAAACGCATAGCATTTGGTACACCTGAGTCTGAATCCTCATTACCTTTGTGAGTTTTTGAGTCGTATAAATAATAGAAAAGTTTCTATATAAATATTCTTTTAATAGTAATAATGATGATATGCATAAACTATTGCATAAAGTAAAACGAAAAAAGATATTCAATCAAGATGATGATGATGATATGGAAAGTCGTGAAGAGGAGGAAGAAGAATCTGCTAAGCACACTTCTGCTGGTCTCACGGCTTATGTGACGTATGTGAAACATATACTAGAAGCATATATTTTGTATTTAAACCCTGACACAAAGTCAGAAGAAATTGAAGACACAATAGGTGATATGGCTTTGAAAGCAGTCAAAGTGGCAAGAAGAATATTTAGGGTAGGTATTAAGTGGTCACTGTTTTTAATGTTAAGTAAAGTAAATGCTGCGACTTGTTCTCAAATAAGAAAGAACTTAACAATTAAAATTCATATGGTATATATGCTGTTATAATGAGAGCTCGGCAGTGGTGATTACTTCTGTAATCAGAATACCCGCAATTACAAATTACAGCGTAATTATAATTGGGAAATTTATTGCTATATTACAACAAATTTCTTATTACTCAAATACTGTTGCTAAAATACTTTTGAAAATTACCTAGAATCAGGAATTGGTATTTCTATTTCCAATTCCAATTGTAATCCACCATCAAAAGTTCACATTTAATTTATTTGTAGTCTGGCTTGTATTAAGCGAAATGGAGGTCTGGAGTCTTAAACCTAGGTAGTTAGGAAGGTGAAGAAAAATGATAATCGAATCCTTAATTAGCTAAGATAATCATTTTGATATCACATTCCTCGTAATTGTGAGTAGAATGTTGGGTATATTGTTAAATTCAAGTTTTCTGATACCAATGATGGAAATACCGTCAAATGTATTAAAGATTAAACAACAGGGCCGCCAAATACTTGAGCCTTGTTCGGGATAAGCTTGAACGTAGATATTATAGGTACCACAAGCAGGTATCTGCTAATTGAACGCCGATTGACATGTGCTACAAAAGCTTCGACAGAGTAGACCAAGTCTGGCTCAGTGCCGTCTTATACTCCAGTGCCCTATTAAGATCAATATTATGTGAGATACTTCCAATTAAATGTTAGAATATTGAAATTTTGGAAATAGACTGAAAGTAAGAGGTGGGTTAGATTAGAAAATTCTTAGAAATGTGTAGCGAAATGTTCACATATATTATTCGGTTCTGACCTACGATTGTTAGACGACCTTCAGCCGCAATATCTTCATACGAATCTAATTTAATCCAGGTTAGATTTGGAATCTCTTATTAAGGCATAGTTTTATGTTTTTTCCACACTGAATTTCGTTGCACCAAACGAGAACTGATATCTTTAACTAAGATATCAAATATTAACTAAGTTGATTTAGAAGACTCCGTTTAGGAATAACGTAATGTATCTTATAGTTCGCGATATACTATAACCAATTTTAATATATTTAGATATTTATACAAGTTCATATGTAATATTAATAATAAGGTCTTCTAAGGACTCTAAGTATTTTTTTGAGTAGTAAATGTGAGAGTCTCTCCGATTACTCATGATACAGACATTAATAGAAATTAGCGGTGATGTTTTAGTATCTCACGAGTATAAGCCAAACTTTTGCCGTTAAAATTGTTTTACTATTAAACTTTCAAAACATTATTCTATTATATCACAAAAAAATTAATTATTTGATATTACTATTGATTTATATTAGTTAAAAGAGGATGCAGAAAATGCTACAAAGCCAATGAAAAATCCTGCCGAAGATATTGTGTATATATCTGTGATTGATTTACAAAATCAAACCGATAAACTAATAACACCCAAGACTATACCCATTTGGGAAGAATACTTACAACTCATTATGAATAATACTAATCACACAAAACCATTTAATAGTAAAGACATCAAAATTATAACAAGTCAAGCAGATATAATTTATCTACAAACTATAACGGAGTATTTATTTGATGTAGCACCAGAAGATATCGAATTCTATATATGGCTCAGCGTAGTAGAAGAATTAATATTACACACTACAAGTGACATGCGATTGCTTCATACCGAGTATATGCGTGTTATGATCGGTACCGAAGGAAGTTCACCTCGTTCCATTTATTGTGCACATGCTGTAAATAGTTTAATGGGCATGGCTGTTAGTTACTCACTGGCAGATAAAAATTTTACATTACGGAAATTACCAAAAGTTGAGAATATGTTAAAAGATATACGGCTTGCATTTGAAAAGTTAGTGCGCTCCACAAATTGGATGGATGCTGAAACAAAACGACAAACACTACAGAAGTCAGCAGAGATGAAAAGTTTTATAGGATTTCCCGAATGGTTAACTAATGCTACTGAACTAAATGAATATTATGAGGGAGTGTATGTTAATGAAACTAAACATTTGGAAAACATGATTGGAGTGCTACGTTGGCAGATGCAAACACGTTTAGATGGTTTCTATGAACCTGAAGTATTTGGTTGGGCCACGTCCCCATCAAATGTGAATGCATTTCATACATTTCAATCGAATGCTATAAGTAAGTGTGTATTATCAACTAGTAATAACTATCAACTATGAGAAATAATTTATTTGATTACAATTTTATTGATTTTAATTCTTAATCTAGCCATTCCTATTGCAATATTGCAGTATCCTTTTTATGATTTGGGATTGGAGTGAGTAGTTTTGCTTTTTCTAAAAGTGCACAATATATTTGACAGCACATATGTTTCTATTAACTATTGTTACAATCTAAGCACCAATAATAATCATCAACATATTTAGCACCATATATGTCTCTATTAACTTTTGTTATAATCTGTGTAATATAAGCACCAATTGTAATCATCTACTTCATAATCGAGCACCACGCGAACCTAAATAGTAACTATATACTTATAATAATATAACTTATAGACTTATAAAAGTATATAAACTATAATAAACTTTCCTTTCTTATGTTGAGTCTTTTCCGAGTTAGTGCATCCGGACACTTTTACTCTATGATGGCTGGGGGGTTTCTGCAGAGTTCCACCCATCTCACTGACTAATTTGAGTATTTCTCATAATCTTCGTTATTATTCAATGATTGATCTAAGATCTGCGTACCGTCACGTGCGGTTATTGATTACTCTGAGATTAGATAGTTCCAAGTAGGGCAGCCTGTCGGTTTTCACATATAGCTTCAGAGCTCTGTCCCTTATGAATTTTTTAAATGGATCTATTCTAAGGTGTCTTAGCATGTCATTTCTGCGAATGAACCATGGCACATGACCAAGCAAATTCTACTAAACCTAGAAAACCTAGTTTTCACTGTATTGAAAATCAGTTTAAATAAAAAACCTTTTCTTTATTAATATTAAAGCTTTTTTTTGATTATAATATTTCGTAACGCTTTCCTTTTATTTAGATAAATCCATTCACTCTAGTCAAGAAAAGGCACTTTTAAATATTATGTTTTAATTAGCTTAACTATTAATTAGCTTAAATAAAATTCAATAAAAGAATACTTATTAAAAATGAAGAACGATTTTAAACATAAATTTTATTATTTATTACCATAACAAATTTAACACGATGATGAAGTCAAGTTTTTCTTGCTCAAGGTAGTGAGAACGTATTTTAGAATTAATAAAGTTATAAGTAATAAATATAATTCTCATCATGTTGAATTTATTGTACCAATAAGTAATCCAACCTGCATATATGTGAATTAATTTCAAGTTTAATAAATGTTGTTCTTATGCGTTACTATTTTATTTTGGGTTTAGTATTTTTCTTTAAAATTAAGAAAAATTCCTTACGCAATACGTTTTTACACATTAAAAAAAGTTATAATTCTCATCATGTTGAATTTATGGTACCAGTATAATACTCCAAGTTACATGGGTGCAAACCAAATTCGAGGTTAATAAATGCTGTTATTATGGATTACTTTTGATTTCAGAATTGATACTTTACGGAATACAGTTGCGATGTTTGTGGAGTGATACTTATTTTTCACAATTCGATTTATTTAGGAATAATGCCTCTAATTTTTTTTAGATATTTAAATATGAAAACACGGTTGCCACTGGAAAATTTTTTTCTGTACCAAAATTGGTTTAAAAAGGTACCATTTCTGTAAAAAAAGGTCCAAAATTTTTTTGGACCTTTTTGTGTTTTCTCGTTCTGTGTTTTTCATAGTGTTATAAATGAACAAAATATAAAATAGTGCAAAGTTGCATTTATAAAAAAAATTAATTGGAAATATCCACAATAAAGTTGGGTCGTCAAAAATGTACCAGTTTTTTGAACATGAGTACCAAACGAAAAAAAAAAAAAAAGTACCAATTTTGGTACTAAAGTACCATAAGTGGCAACCGTGTATGAAAACCTTCGAAATTGTTCATTTTAACAATGAAAATAAATTTAGAGGTGGTGCTCTATTTTTAAAGAATTAGCAAACCAAGTACAAATTTTTTTTTTTTTTAGCACCTAGAAAAATTTGATTTCAAGGAGATTACAGTATCTTCGACTTACATTATTTTTTAAAAACACAACTTTCTTTAAAAAATATTGCAAGCATTTATGTTGACATCTCACGATAATCCATCTGTTGTGGATCATTAATATAAGGACATTGGACACTTGATTTGTGTTAAAATATTTATGAAATTCGCACAACCCAATTGTTTTAAATCGGAATTATTTCACTTCACTTTGAGTATTTATGTTCAATTAAATTTTCAATTCACACAAATTTGACAGCATGATTGATATTTTAAACGTCGTAGTGACACTTTTACATCCAAAAATATTCTCTCTTTAATTAATACATGTCACAATTAACAAGCAGAGCACTGAATTATGGTTCCATCGGCACAATTTTGGGACACGAATTGACACATGGATTCGATGACAGCGGTCGCATGTTCGACAAAAATGGTAATATGGTGCAGTGGTGGTCAAATGAAACTATAAACGAATACGTCAATCGTACTGAATGTTTCGTAGACCAATACAATCACTACTACTTGAACGATATTGGGGAATATGTGAGTATTTAATTCGAGGGAAAGTAATAACGATTTAATTTAAATGAGCTTTTCCATTACAGATTGATGGTGAACTTACTTTGGGTGAAAATATAGCAGATAATGGTGGTATGCGGGAGGCATATCATGCATATAAAATCTACACCAAACATACAGGTAGAGAGCATTTACGACTTCCCGGTTTGGAGCGTTACACACATGAGCAATTATTTTTCATTGCATTTGGTAATTTATGGTGTGAAACTTATACGCCAGCGGCGTCGCGTTATGCTTTGGAGGACTCGCACTGTCCGGGTAAAATTCGTTTAAAAGGTGTGCTCTCCAACTCTGATGAGTTCGCACGCACTTTTAAGTGTCGCAGAGGTACGGGCATGAATCCAATGGAGCATAAATGTCGTATATGGTGAAAACCTGCAATGTTGTTATAAAAAGTGACAAAAAGTGATAAAAAAAGCAGTAATGAAGTGATGGTATAAAATGATTTTAAATACATTTTAACTTGTTGTGGGTAATATAGTAAAGTTGATATCGTGAAACGTAAAGTATTTGAAATTGCACTGAACAAAAGAAAAAAAAATTAGGAATTTTTAATACTTATGTTATAAAAAAATTGTTTTTTAATAGATTTTAGTACTACAAGTCTAATATTTTCTACTTTGTATACCAATTTTAAGCTAATTTTATACACACATATATATGTAAATATTTTATGAAATTAATAAAAGAAAATTGTTTGCTAAAAGTACTAAATAACTACAATAAAGAGGAAGAGTGCTCTGTTATAAAATTATTAATGTTCCATTGTCAACTTTGACATGGGTTTGCAATAGTCAAACCATTTTACACTCAATTTAATTTTATGTATGAAAACAGCAATTAAAAGTTTACACTGCGTAGGCTTAAACTGTGTAAACGACCTTTTCGTTACACCCAACTTAAAATATTCGTACACAACACAAAATGTTAACAATAGCAGAATTTTAAAACAATTTCTAATAAAAGCTTACTCTATTCTGCCATTTAGCTTAGCATTATCCTTTGTCCTTTTCAATTGCTATCAAATATGACGACGCATAGTTTCCTTTGTAACTTTGTTATTGTAACAGCTGCCATTTGATGCTCGTTAGCAACTGCAAAATTATAAAATCCTTTTCAAAAAAGAAAAAAATATAATAATAATGTGTGTATATGAATATAAGGAATTTTTGAATATGCAAAACATTTTATTGCTCTATCATGTAAGGCAAAACTAGTAGCTTAGCTTACTTTTTAATAAAACCAGACATTCACAGCACTAAACTTATAATCTCTTGTAGAAAAAATGAAATCCTTTATACGCACATATGAATCCTTTATGTAAATAATTTGCTTTTTTTATTGTATTTGTATCTTGTCAAAAATTATTGCCCTACAAAACTGACTGACATCATAAAAATTGTAACCAAGTTCATTTTAATCCTTTGTCATCTGAGAGTATTTCCACATATCCTTTGTGTAATCTTAACCATGTGTTTATGTTGGACTTTTTTCCTTTATTGTTACTTTTAAACACATGTGCTGAGACCTTAACGGCTCTCACATCCTCAAATTTTAAATAACATCTTCACTTGTTTTGTATTCAATTCTTCCTCGTGCTTGTTAAACATTTCATTAATCCTGCATTTGGTTACCTTTTTAAGGGATTAGCAAACATCATTTCGGCTATGACAGGAATTAAAAATTCTGTTTCTGTAGCAGAAATCGCTTGCCATCTTCCGTGAAGAAATGAAATTCAAATATTTAAGCAACACGCAGTCTGTTATATTATAAATTATTTAAATATTTCTTAAAAATTTATAATAAACTGACACAAAGAACCTGAAAAGGAAGGCGAAGGAGATATGTAGTCCCATAATCGCAAAAAAAGATTATTTCTCTTACAGTAGAAAAATGTAATATTAATTCCAAATATTTCTGTAACTAAAAATGTACAAAATAATTTTTTTTTATATTAAAAAATAATATCCTGAATAAAGTGGGAAAATCAAATATAAAAGTGTCACTTTAAAAAGGATATGAATATTGTAAAAGCATAAGAATAATATAAAAAGTATAAGTCAGAAAATATTTTTAGAATTTATTAATTAAAATTCTGAGATGATATAACTGCTGAGATATTCTTATAACTGCTGTAAGCACGACTAAGTAATATTAACGTTCCATAACGACCACAAACGCATTTGGTTTTATACACAAACCGCTACGAGTTACTTTAAGATAAGTAAAGTCACTACTCCTAACAGTTCTCCGACAATTTATATACAAATCTCAAGAAGCACAAACATTAGCAATAATGTTATAGACATCCGGGATATACTGGTGCATGCGGAAACGAATACCCAGCTAAACTAGTCAGGAAAGAAGCAGCCACACCAATAGTGGAACCGGAACATTTCTGTGAATTAAAACACAATACCCACTCTTCTCTTATAGAAATGGAGGAGAACCAAAGGAAGGACAAAAAAGATTACTAGTATAATCTACTAGGACTAACATAATCCAAATCACTTATTGGCACCGAAGCCGATACCCTCTCTTCTATCATAGAAATAAAGTAGAACAAAAAGAATTACTGGGCTAATCTACCAGGATAAATACAATCCAAATCACTTATTGGTACCTATAACAATAGGAGATAGCAGGATTGTAAGGGCTTATCAAGTGAAAAACTAGTCTTGTCCGAAGTGGACAAGAAAAAAACTAGTCAACTGCTTCGACCAAAGCGTAATAGTATCGTATGGTGCAATGATTTCTGTTCTGATATCCCATGAGAATGGATTTTTTCTGTTATGGCTTTTATTGAACTTATGACTCTCATGGATTTTGTGGACAGTGAGCTCTACCTCATGTCTCAGTGTTCATAGTTGGCTAGGAGAAGATTTAAAAGAGTTACGGCTCTTTTTCTTGTCGATCTGACAGTGGTATCATACTGCAAAATTTGGGATTAGTTTACTTTCATTTGTAGGGAAGAGGTGTGCGGTTTGTACACTAAACAATGCGATTCTTCTGGTTTGCAAATGAATAATGTTTATCCATGTTATCATGTTTTTCCATGTTATGATTAATTTTTCATAGCTTCATATGCTTTATTACTATGTGAATCAATATTGGTTTCAGTTTCAACATCTTTAGCAGAACCCTTTAATATATTGAATTTTAATAAATTATTTGTCAGTGGTTATAGTTGGGAGGTTATTATTCGTGGTTGCAATATATATATACATTTTTTGAAGATTTTCAGATTACTTTCACTTGAAGGTCTTAAACTGTGAATAACTGTGTAATTTGATACTTGGTTTCGATCCTCCTTCCGCTTTAACTAACAATTAAAAAAATTATTATTTTTCTCAGTTGTTTTCTTTCAATCAAATGACATAAAAATTATTATTGAAAATAACAATATAGAAAATAATTTAATGCAAGCAGCTTTATTTATCAATTTTCTCTTAAACATAAAGCTCTATGCTGATATCGTACACATTTATTATACTAATTTTACGTATAATATAATTAACAGATTTAATTACAAGAGGTGGAATCCATAATGAGAAGATTACAATATACATTTGCATTACAATTAATTACAATTACCATTACAATTATAATTACTAATACATTTACAACTACAATTACCATTAAATTACGATTACAACTACAATTCGATTACAATTACAATACTATAGCAATAATACATTTATATTGTATGTTAGCAGGACTCATATATACACTTTTGATAAATTTACACTGAAATGCCTTAAAACACATGTAGAGAGACGATACAATTTATTTATTTAATTTATATTTTATGAATTATAATTAATTAGCACTTAAATACTTGAATAACAAACCGCAATTGGTTATAGTATTTGGAGTTCAAAATTCGTCTAATAACAGAAAATTGTTGCATTTTGTGCAAATTTGTATAAAATCAATTAAACTAACTTATTATGAATTGCGTCATTGTTTCAATCCAAATATGTAGAATGATAAATTCTATTTCCTCTTATTCCAATATTCCTGTAGTCATTTTGCTTCATTAAATTCTCTACACAAAATCAACGAACGATGGACTACATGAACTGCGTTGGATCGTTGACTTTGCGTTTATTGGGCTGGCACTACCGCAATACTGTGGTTTCCGCACATGAAAATTGACTCTGCAAAATAAAATAAATGAAAATTGTTTATAAATTAGCATAAAATTTTCTTATATTCACTACATTCTAAAGCAAAAATATAGTATATGTGAATATGCAGATGTGAACTGCAACCATATGTGAAGGTCTGTTATGTTTGTTTTGGGAGTGTATGAGGTTCAACAGTGCGTATGAGTACTGCGTTTAATATTTTTCATCGCAATTTGTTAGTAAATGAAATTTATAATAATAAATTTTAATAAAAGAATAGTTTATGATGCTACGCTTTAGTCACTGTTTTCAATTATTAAATTTATTTAATTTTGAAAATTAATAAAATAGTATTAAAAATATAAAAATGGTAAAGAGCGTAATTTAAATTAATTATGAAAAATTTTTTCGATGATTTTAAGTTCATGATTGGGTTAATAGAAGAATATTTAGCACTATAAGAGGCTATAATTATTGTTATCAAACTATAAATCATTGTATTGTATAATACCTTATATATATAATACATTATATATGATATATATGATATTGGACAGCAATTATGCCATTTTTTCTGTAAAATTACAGTCATTTTCTATAACTTCACCTATTATTTTGAGATTTTAAATATTAAAAATAAATCATAGACTTTTTTCAGAACTTACCCCCTGCATAGAATTCGCTCGCAGTTTTCGTCTTGTGCTGATGTAGGTGGTGCATGTGTTCACTCTTTGCAGGTGGAATGCATCGTCGGTTCCTACATATATTTTTTTAAGATAAATAAATAAATTCAAATTATAATTTTTTAATTTTGCAATAATTTGGAAAAAATTCAGCATAATTCTGTAAATTACGACTTGCTGATATAAAACAGCATTCGCTGTTACAAATACACACAGTCAAATACACAGTCAAAAAGAAATGAAAGAAATTTTCTTTGTGTATTTGACAACATATTTTCAAACTATTTTTTTTTTACAATGTACATGCAGATTATGAACTATTAAAAATGCATGACAAAATTTTGATTAAATGTATATAAATACATATAAACAAAAACTATGAATTAATTACTAACTATTGCAAAATAAAAAAAAAAATCAATCAAAGTAGAACTAGCTAAGCATAACTAAAACTTCATTTGAAATTAATTCCGACTGTATATTATTTTAGTAAACGAAAAATAAAAGAAAAACTTATTAAAATAAAGTTTAAAGCAATTTCTATAAAATTATAATAAATATAAATATAGATTATAAATTGTAATTATAAAATTAATATAAAAATTTATTAAACAAAATACAGATATTGGAA